ATAACTCGCTCTGTAAAGTGATTGAGGGGTTAGGGCGCACATTCTGCCACAGCTACAGTGATCAATAATAACACAGGACTTCAGGGACCAGGCATACAAGAAATAAATGCTTCTCAAAGGTTTCTAGATCTGCACTGAATTTGTAATAATTGGCGTTAGTGAAATGCACTTGCTATCTTTCATGTCTGCGTAATGCAGACAGCTTTTAGCACATTTGCAACTGCAGGCATCAAGTTAATCTGGGGCCCCTCAAACCTTTTATAAAATCACATTTCAGTTAGACAACTATCTTAAATAGATGAACCATTTAGGGCACTTAAACCTGCAGTAATCTTTTAAGGTTTTTGGAAAAAGTGAAACCGAGGAACCTCTTTGAAACAGTAATACATGCTTTCATAGGAGGATTTTCAATGGCCTTCATAAATCAACACACTAAGCAGCCCTGTCTAACATTGAGCCATTGGGAGCACTAGTTCTGTATCTTGCTTTCAGGTTTGGCAAACCCTGAAAGCAACTGGCAATACAGTGCAGTGAGAAAATTTAACAGTTTCCTTTAATGTTTTTCAATCTACTAGCAGACCAGCTGATTGGGAAGTCATGTTTACAGTTCCTTGTAAATTTAAAGCCACACTTATCACTCTAATTTAAATTCTTCATCAGAGAACCAAAATATGTCTGATCGGATAAGAGGCATCTGGCTTTATTGCCTAACAAAAACTTTGAGCTTAGTTGGTTCTGTTTAAGGAAAGCTCAGACTGCTGTAAAGCAACGCTCTGTGTGACATGTCTTTTTTAAGGAATTTGGGGGCCCCAAGCAAAATTCACTTCAAGGGTTATGCACTTCGAGGCGTATTCCGATAACGGTGTCATTATTGTACTTTTCTGCAGTGACAATCGCTGAATTTAAATGTCCACTCACGAATGTTTGCTCTAATTTTTCATGTATCTGAGCATACACACTTATATATTTATATATACAGTACATATATATATTGTTTTTTGGCATTTCTACTTACATAAATTATGTAATAGTATATGATTTAATGATTAATTTTAATGATTATTATCCATAAAGAAAAAATCTTATAAAATGTCAGCAGAATATTTGTTCTAACATTTTATCTATTTTTTCACATCTTTCCTTCTCATTTCTCCAATGGTTGTGCAAATATGCCACTTTCTTGATGCTGTTTTGCTTCATGCTTCATTAATCAACTTTATCTTCTTTAACAATCAGCACTGGATGCTTTAATGTACAGTAGCAGAAATATCCACAAACTGTGCGATCTGCTTTTGCTGATCACATTAAAGTGGAGCCACCTTATCTGAAAATGTGCAGATTGACTCCTGATTATGTTTTTGCTTCATCGTGTAATTGAATTTAGCAAGGAGAAAAAAGTCTCATGGAAAATTGCGCTGCACAGTTAACAGGTGTATCTTAAGGTGATTATTGGATAGCAGGGTTGTCACAGACCCGTGAGTTTCATTGTTCTGGAAGCCTGGACTGCTAAATAATTTGGGCCACCACATGGTCTTCTTCCTATGGGATTATTTATTTATGCACCTGTAGCTCTTTGATGTGCTGAATAAGGACATTTATGAACCCTTTTTTAAAGGACACTGATGTTCAATTAAACATATTCATCTAAATCCAACTCTTCAACCTATTCATCTTTTTTTGTAAAACTGATTTCATTAGGGATATAAAGCACTGGCTAGGTCAGGGGTCTGCAACCTTTCATATCCAAAGAGCCGTTTTGCCCAGAGTACGACCAAATAAAAGTTGTTTAGAGCCGCAATTAATAACATGACTTTTTCTAGAAAACCTTTTTTTTTTTAAAAGCTTGTATAGCAAATTAGTTGTTGCCATCTCAAACAACAAATTCATATATTTTTAATGTTAAAGCATATAATACTCCAGCTAATTAATAGAGAAATGTCTCTGAAAATATATTTCTGGTTCTTTTAAACCCATTCTCTTCCATCTTATAAAAAACGCTAAAGCTATTGATACCGGTATATATTATAGTAAATTATTTAGCTCTTTATATACATTTTAGCCAGTATTAAGAGCCGGTGGAGAGGGTCCAAAGAGCCATATGTGGCTCCGGAGCCGCAGGTTGCAGACCCCTGGGCTAGGTCATCCGCCAGGAGAGTAAAATTCTGTTTAATCAATAAAACCGACTGGGATATCCAGCGTCATGCAGGCGGAGATGCTATAAGCACCCAAACAAAATAAAATAATGATGAATGTATTCCCGTTTCAATTTTTTTATTATTACTATATTAAACGTGGCATGGCAAGCAAAAACTGTGCTCAGTTTCTCCATATTATCTCCGAGGGGACGACAGTTGTTTCTCATATTTTTATCTTTGGTTTCAGGCTGTAAAATAGAAAAAAAACGTATTGATCTAATTGATTTGCAGTTTATTTTGGATTTTATTTTATAAGCTGCATAGACTGCGCAAGCAGTGAGCAATTAGCAAAGTTTGTCAATAGATGCAGTTTATAACCAGGTCAACCACTGTCTGGGGGCCCCTGGCCAACTCGGGGCCCTAGGGAATTGCGTGGTTTGCTTGCCATGTTGTAACGGGCCTGTTCTTAAGTTACATAGGCTACGTTCACACTGCAGGCCTTAATGCTGAATTCTGAGTTTTTTTGTGAAATTCAATTTTTTTGTGTTGCTGTTCACATTTCCAAATATATGCGACTTGTATGTGATCTCCTGTGTGAACTGCATTCATACAGCTTAAGTGTCCCACATGCTCAGTAGAGGGCATTAGACGTCACAGGCAAGCGCGCTCTGAGTTTACGGAAGTAAACATTTCCCAACCTTAAAAACTCAATCTTTTCAAGACCGTCAAACATAAATACGACTCTCCAGTGGAGCGGAGGAGCGGAGTGGAAGAAATATGGTGGAGGGCAGAGCGATTTCAATTCAAAGGATGCAGCGAGGATTTCGCTCCGCTCCAGTTCGCTCTGATGTACTCACAAAATAGATAATAAAATAAATTAATAATTAAACAAGAAATGCTGGGCAAAATGAATGGAGCGAGGTGTTACGTTCACAGCTGGGAAACAGTGTGATCATTTAACAGCCAGTTGAATAAGACAATACAAATTTATCGGTCACAACATTAAATGGAATAGTGACCTATGTCGGCTACTAATGGAGTTCAGGTCGGATGAATGTGACCTGGCCATTCAGACACAGGTTGCATTTGAAAAGATCAAATTCGTATCGGATTCAAAACCACAGAGCCAAGTGGTCTGGGTCGCATTGGAAAAAATCAGATCTGTGTTGCTCAGACTGTCACGCGAAGACCGGATACAGGTCGCACATGGGCAAAAACAATTGGATTTGAGTCATTTCAGGCTACTGTGTGAACGTAGCCATAGTTGAGTGTTTTAGAAGGGCAGCCCTCACGGAGCACAGATATACAGCAAGTGCTGAATATTGACCGAAAAAATCTAATAAAATTCAAATTAGGCTAACACTTGGATCAGACCTTAGACAGTGTTGATTGAAGATAATAAAGCTATAAAGGTGCAGTGATTTAAAAAAAAGGAAAAGTTAATATTTTAAAAGCTTAAGTGTTTTTCTGTAGTAATTACTGCAAAAACAAAGGAGTAATAATAAAACACACTTATTCTGTGTGAAGCAAAGACAGGATAAATGTTTGAATGTTTTATTAGATATGGGCTAAATCTGCAATTTGGTACTTCTACATCGTGGCCAGAAGAGATGCACATGATGAATTGATTCTTGTCGTTGCTACCACAAGGATTTATTCAGGATTAGTATTCCTCACAGCACCAAATCCCAGCCCTCATCAGGGAGGGCGTGATTTCTGGAATCCACCTTAAAGGAATAGTACACCCAAAACATGATTAGCCTTCATTTTCTACTCACCCCCATGCTGAACAACACTCTGGAGTACTTTTTGATATC